CTGTGCAAAATGCTTTGCTTGTAACTTCAACCTCTCTTGTGAGGCTTTCTCTTATAGAGGTGATTTTTTTTTTTTTAATTCTCTTGCTGGTACTGCTGAAATTCATAGACTTGCAACATTGGAAGCAACCTCATAAAAACATTACAGGGCCAAACCAGTGGACCATCCAACCCAGTATCCTGTCTGTCAGTGGCAGGAGTGGATGCTTTAGAGAGAGAGCATTGAACCAGGTATATCTAGAGTGATCCATCCCCTGTTCCTTACCCTCCCCACATCCACCATCATTAGTTTAGAGATGCCAGAGGACACATCTCTGATCTGTATTCTGTTTAATAGCTATTAAGAGATCTATCATCTGTCAATCTGTTTAGTCCCTTTTTAAACCTGGCTATACTATCTGCCTCTACAGCCTCCCTTGGTAATGAGTTCCACGAGTTTTAACTATGAACTGCATACAGAGGTGTACTTCCTCTTGTTAGGTTTAAACCTGTCTCCTACTAATTTCACTGTTTCAGCCCCCAGCTTCTAATATTCTGGGACTTGGTGAATAACAGTTCCCTGTTCACTTTTGTCAGCACCCTTCAGGATTTTATAGACTTGTAACATACCCCGTCCACCTTCTTCTTTCCAAGCTGACAAGTCCTTTTGGTCTCTCGTAGTATGGCAACTGCTGTATACCCCTGATCATTTGGTTTCCCTTTTCAGTACCTTTTCAAATTCTACTACATCCTTTTTGAGATGCAGAGACCAGAACTGCGCACACTACTCCGGGGTCATCAAATCCAACCCCTCTTACAGACGCAGGATTTTGTGTTCTTAAACCATCCCAATTAAAAGCCTATTCATCCTCCTCTTGAAAACTTCTCGTTAAGGAGATTCCCCAAGTGCCCTAGGCAGCTCGTTCCATTGTCCTGCTGTTCTCACTATGAAGGAAGCTTTTTCTGAGATTTGATCTAAATCAGCTTTGCTGCAGTTTAAACCCATTGCCACGTGTCTGGCCCTCTGTGGCAAGAGAGAGCAGTTTTTTCTACCTTCTGTGTGGCAGCTTTTCAGCTATTCAGAAAGTGTTCGCTCATGCCCCTTAATCTTCTTTTTCCAAAGCAAATGTGTATGGGTTTTTCAGCCTTTCCTCCTGCAGCTTGTTCTCCAACCTCTTTATCATCTTTGTCACTTGTCTCTGAATCTCCCCCTCGCTCCCTCCCTCTGCCGATTTCTCTACAGTGTCTTTGAAGAGGGACTAGCTTGTAGCTAAAGGGCTGGATTTGCAACTGTATTAAATGAAAGTGACACCAGAATCTTGGCAGAAAACCCAGCATGGGACTACTTTGAAATCCCAGCCCCCTCTGCTGAGCCTGTGAAGTGGCAGGCACACCTTGTCAGTCCTTGGGAAGAGTGCTTTGTTTTTCTGAAGGGACGACAAGCTAGTAAAAATGCATCCAGATCTGAAAAGTCTTAATTTCTTTTAAATAACCTAGGCTGCAGGACATGAAAACATTCTTGGATTGATGAGAATGGTAAGCCCTAAGTACTTGGAGGAGACATCATGAGGCATCAGATTTACCTTGTAGGATAAATTGGATTAAGGAAATCCTATTTCCTTATTTGTTAGAGTAGATTAAATTGAAGACCATTGTAAACAGGATTGGAACATACCTGGGTAAATTACTTTAGCATAGTGGAGCCCAGATACTTTTCTGGTTAAGTTCCTTAGCCCCTTGTGAAGATGAGGGTTTGTAACCCAACCAGGAGTTTAGCTTAGAAGGGAAGCAACAAACAGCTGCAGGGCTTGTCCTTCATTCAGTAACCTTCTGTGTATTAAGCATCCTGATATGAATGATTGGGGCTCTGCCACGTATTTATGAATGAGGGGCTGTTTGGCTTCTCCCTGCACTGTCAAAATGATGAGGAATATGCAGAAAAAATGTTTTTCTTTCTAGAGATGGACGTGACTGGGGAGATCACGGTCGCAAGTTTGAGGGACATCAAGATCGTTCGTGGCAGGGCAGCGTAGATGGAGGAATGATGGGGCGGGATCATGAGAGATGGCAAGGTACGCCAGCTGTGTAATCGCTTATTGTGCTTGCTCGCCCTTTGGTAGTTGATGTATGAGGTATTCTTAACATCCCAAATAAGGTGAAATAGAATATGGGGGTTTTGATAATAGGCAGCGTTTGAGCCTCCTTTTTTTTTATTTCCAGGTGGTGGCGGTAGAGGCAGACCTGGCCATGTGATGCATCGGGGAGGCATGTCAGGGTAAGAAGCTATGCCGAGCACTTGGTTTGTTCACGTTCTTCCTTTTTTCAACTAATTTTTTTTTTTATGCTAGAACTGATCAGTGTAGTATCTTGAGAGAGAGCAAAATAATTGAGTTACGCGAAGTGAGATCCTTCCGTTGCCAGGCTTGTCATTTGCATTAAAGACAGTAATGAACTATCCCCGTGATTTTTTGTATAGTGCATTTTACTGAAGAGTGAAAATTGTGCAGAGACGAAACAACACGAGTTTACCTCAGTCCGACAAAAAAAAAAACAGAGTTGCGGTGAAAAACTAAGATGTCTGGATCTGTTTCTAGGCGTGGCAGTTTCATTTAAAGTGGCAACCAAGGCCAGATGACACATGGAGAAGGAATGCAAGAGGAAGGATTTGCCAGCGAGGAGAGAGCAAACAGACCCGGCAGATCCCATTTCAGCCGTCACTACTGAATGTGTTTTCATTTTTTTTTTAATGTGAGATGGCAACAGAGGTGAATTCTATTACCCATGGTTACCATTACCTGTAACTTGTGGGTTACCATAAGTGTAATTTTTTTAAGCTGCTGCCATATTATATAGCTCAATACAATGTGAACTCATTTGTTTTTGTAATGTGTTGTTCATACCCCATTTACAATATGTTTGTTAATGAAGCATTCCATTTTCCATAAATAAAATCAGTTTACAGTTACTTGGTTTGCAAGGTCTTTGCGGAATTCTGTTTTGACAGCATACTTGAAAATCAAGGTAGCTTAAGGATCGCTATTTGTTGAAATAGGCATTACCTCCCTCGGACTGTCAAATGTTTTACGGCACCTCCTGCTGGAAGAAACGGATGAAGAGCGGCTGTTTGCTGCTCTAGCATTGTTTTCACAGGTCATTAAGCTGCAGGGCAAGCGTGATCGCTGATCGGGGAACTGGTTGCCTTCAAAGAATTCTCCAGTCTCTTTTGTATTGAACTCTTAATTCATCTCGGATCAGTCCATTTCTAAGTCACCATGGGGCTACCCACGGCTGTGGCCCTTCTTTCTCATTCATGTCAGTGCGAGATCCAAGACACAGGGCAAAAAAGTGTCAACTGTTACAGCTCTGGGAGATGAATCATTTAAAACCTGCCAGCGCTTATTAATGAATCAATTATTCCCGTCTTCCCCAAAGGGTCACTCGCTCACTCCTTTTGTCTTCAGAGAATGTCCCTCAGTTGCCTGAAGAAATTTCCATTGATCCCATTAACCTTTTCTTGTTACCAAATGCAAGCTCTGCAGCCATTTTCGCTGACAGCAATACTTCCTCAGCAGAGGGTCTTGAAGCACATATGATGAAAAGGCTAAGTACTAGACCCTGTTGATTCAGCGGGAGATTCTCCCCTAGCCTGTTTTAGACTCGAAGCTGCATTTTTGCATGATTCCGCTAGATGGCTGCATTGGGCTGTGTATGTCCTTCCTTTTCCCTCCCACCCATTTCAAGTAACAGCTGCTCACATATCGCTTGGTAGCTAATCAGTGACATTTTAAAGGTGGATCTAACAACCTGCAAGCTTTGACTGAACCTGGTGCATGTAAATGACTTAACTAGCTCATGCTTTCTGCCCTGCCCAATTAGTTGGCACCAAAGACCTTATCTATAAGGTCTAAGAGTTGTCCAGACAATATAAGTAAAGGCAATACTTGGCATCAGTCTTCTGCTTTTTCATCCTGATCGAACCAAAATAGAACGTAGATGTGCCTGTTGATGGTGTGGACAGGAGGAAGGGTGATCTCTGGGCATGATGTGTTGCACTTGTTTAGTTATTTGCCATCTAGACTGCATATGGAATAGGGCAGGCATGAGCTCACTGAATCACCTTCCTTAGGTGGAAGTGAATTCTAGCCCCAACATTTGATGTTTGAATTAAGCTGAAAAAGGAGCTGGGAGCTGCTGTCCAGCCAAATCATCTGCCAATTCCATTTTTTTCCCCAAGTGATCAAGATGCAATGAAACATCCAACTGTTGTGAACTACAGCAATGCTTCCAAAGACTTAAATCCCATTTTCCTGTTCTTTGTCTCTAGTTTGCTTTTCGGGGCAAGAAATGGCTGTTTGTACAGCACCCACCAAAATAAAGGTCCTTTCTCAACACCCCCCCACCCCGCCATGCTATAGTCAACTTGCCAAGTACTTCATAAAAGTTTATCCTTGTCTTTGTGTTAAAAGTTTTGCTTATGTTTGCAACAGTGACCCAGGATATTTGCTGACTTCTTTTTTCAGGTGTTTTTTTTTCCCTCACATGTAATACTGTGCACTGTATCTGTGAAAATTAGTTTCCCTGGATGGATCTCAGGCCAGGCACCTGAATTCAGCCAGTTTGCTTTTGAAAGGCTGGATCATATCTATTTCAAGTGTGTTCCCAAGTTAGGGTAAAAAACACGTGAGCTCACTGCAGCTAGTATAATCTATAGGAGAAAACATGACAGTAGGTGCAGTTCCTAGCACCTCTTATCCCTTAACATGAACCCAGCTGAAGCTCAGAAGACCGGGTGGAAAAGCAAAGTGGTGCTGATTCCTTTTAGAGGAGACAGAACTGTGCTCTTGATGAACAGGCCAAAGCTGGGCACTTTGAAAATTGCCAGGGTGAGGCTAATTCTGCTGTTGTCAAAATGCATTGGGGTCCTCATTGCTGTGAGGAGAGAGTAAAGCTGATGCACGAATGCTTTGGAAAAATCTCACCCGTCCAAGGCAAGCTGAGCTGGGCTTGGAAGCAAGTCTGTGCAGGCAGGGTCATGTGTGATGGTGTGTCTCCATTCAAAGGATGCCCTGGAGTGAAGAATCCCGTCAGTCGCCGCACCCTGGCTGGAACACATCTACTGCACCATGCTCACGTTTTGGGGCTTTTGCTTGGCTGTATGCAGTGTCGTCGTCACCGTCCCCGTCGTCACCAGCCTAGGTAGGAATATCACTTGCTCCTTGTCTGATGCCAGCCAGCTGCAACGCAGTCGATGAAAGCAGGGAGGTGTGACTGCCGTTTCCTTTCAGCAGAAAGCTTGCTAGTATCTGTGCTGCTTGCAAAGGAAGTGGGCCAGGCTGCAACCGGGCAGCTTCACAGAGTCGCATTGCCACCCTGGGCAAAGAGCAAAAGTGGCCTGCAAAAGTCACTGGCTTGGGTGCAGTCTGGGGCAGATGTCAATCCAGGGTAGTCCCCTTAGAGTCAGTGCTATGGCACCACTGTGTCAGGAGAACTGGGCTCCTTTGTTTCTGTTAATCACTAGGCAGAACTTGGAGCCCAGTCCTGGGGATGTCGGTGTCTTCCCCAACCTGGCCTTGCACGTTTGTTAAGGGGCAGTGACCAGAGTCTAGTCTTTGGCCAGGTCCAGAGCTTGCATAAACTGGGGACTGTGCTGCTTTTGGGCAGCTGTCCAGGCCCCTGCTCCTTGGGACTGGATCTTTGTTCAGCTCAGACTCCACAAAGGTACTGAGGTGCCCAACTGTGATGGACATCCACAAGACTAGAAACTAGGTGCTTGAAGACCAGTGAGGATCAGGATTATAATCTCCCCGCCTCAGTTTGCCTAACTGAGAATACTGCTGCCCTACCGCACAGATGCATTCTGGGAACAAATGCATTTAACTCTCTCCATTCTGCCCAGACCCATGAAGGGGGCAGAAGGACAGGCCTGTCTTCATGGGGCATCTGACAAAGTCCATTATACCAAGAGCCACATGCCCTTTCCCCCTCCTTCCATAGTGTGCTTAATGGTGGATAATTTAGAGTGAGACTGCAGGTCCCTGTGGGCACTGGGATGGCTGGGTGGGGGGCATGTTGAGATCTTTGAACAGTATTTGTAGGCGGTCTGTGGATTATAAGGGAAGGGTCACAGTCAAGAACCAAGTGCTAAAGCTGTAACTTAGGGCCAGGCCACGGCAGCCTTTGTGCAGGCAAATAGTTTTGCTTGTCCGAGGATGCTAGCTGGGGTCCTTCGTGAAGCGTGAGTAAGTCTGGGTTGATCCAGGAAAAGCCAGGTTTTTTCTGGGAGCAGGAAGCTTTTTTAAACCATACCCTCCAACCCTACCTGGCTCGGGGAGAGAGACGAATCACCTTTCAGTCCCACAATTGCTGCCAAAATGACGGAAAGCCATCAATGCCAGCCCTGCACCATAAACACTAGACCAGTCCTTCCACCTCAAATAACACAATGAGCAAGAGCAGAACAAAGCGGGTAACCCTTATGCCAGTGTTAAATTATGCTAGTGGTATAAGAGGAGCTAAACCACTGTAAATTTAAAACTGCTTTCATTTTTCAAGTTACGGTGGTTTTCACTTATGCTCCTATCGATGTACATCAGAACAGCTGATACCGGCTGCAAAGCAGCAACCCCCTCTTCTGTTAAAATGATTTAAAGTTATATCTATCTACAGCTTGAAAGTGCCCCAAGCTTCATGAATCTGTATCTATTTTCCTTCCCTTTTCAGTGAATAGACCCGAGCATTTAAGGCCCTTTGTAAAATACCATGAGAGAGTGTTTTATGACACAGAAGCTTTAGAACAGCTGCATCAGAGGTCAAAAAGAGCCGCGGAAGAGCATGAAACATTGATCCAGCTGGAATTCCAAGCCTATCGGAGGTGCGTGGCTCCATATATTTGTGTCCAGGGTCTGTACTGAGGCCAAACCCTATCTGATCTAAATCATTACACACTGCAGTGCTACAACAAGCTGAAATCCAGCAGGTATGTACAGCTAGCACATTATCCTATTATGCTTCATTTCAGATTGTGTTCAGGTGATCCATCATCATTTATATTGCGGCACCTGGACGCTCCTGTTGGGGACAGGACCCTCCCGGGTCCTGCTAGGTGCTGTACAAAGCCCACAAGAAACAAAGATGATGCCTGCCCCAAATTGCATAGGCCCTATGAGGCAACAGCCACCGTATAACAGGTGGCTAACAATGGTCAGAAGCCAGGAAACCCTGAGCCAATACTGGTCACACGATAGACAGATTACACCCCTCTCTGCTCTCTTGACTGGTTGCCAAATGTTTTATACACGTCTATAATGGAGGCAAAGCTTACACCACTACTTCTAGTACTGTGGATGAGATTTGACTCCCATTGTGTAGCGACAGCAGCTGGTAGAGGGGATAAGCGCAGAACATTTTCCGAGGTTACGAAGTCCACCCGTTCATCCATGGTCAGGTAGTTGGGCTGTTAACCGAGGTCAAGACATTGTCAGTAGTGAACCGCTGGATGTTCAGCACATGCTACGTTAATTTAGTAAGTGCGCCCCCCCCCCCAAACTTATTTGTTTGCCGCTTTCAAAACTTGTCCTGGAAATGGCACGTTACTGTTTGCCTGGCTCTGTTATTGCAGCAAAAGGAACATTTCATTAACTCCAGGGGCCAAGCTCTGGTTCCAGGTGTGAGATATGTGAATGTGTTGAATCTGAAATATATTCTGTGCTTGCCAGTTTGCCAGCACTTTTTCCCTGCACTTGTGGTTGGAATTATTTATTTATGGGCCCTGGGACAAACAGCACTGGAGCTGAGTCCCAGCCAAGCATCTTGGACATACCTGTGACTCCATATGCTAGGAGCTACAGGGCTGGTTTGGCCTTTTGCAGGACTCTGACCTGCATCTGTCACAGCACAGAGTTGCCCGTGGAGTTCAGTGGCCAAGATCAGCAGTGGGAGGGAGGAATTGTGTGAGCAAAGGGGAAAAGTGACTTCTTCCAGTTGAGACTACACATGAAATGGGGAAGTGCCCAGATACCGTGGTGATGGGCTGAACAGGAGAGCTGTTCTAAAAGAAACTATTGCTGATGGCAACAGGTGAAAGCTCTCACACTTTTCTCCGCAGCATGGAAGGCAGCAGGAGATGAAAGGTGTTTAGACCAACTCCAGGTAGACAAAGTTATTTGGGTAAATGCAATATGTTTTTATTAAACTAACTGGCTAGTTGGAAAAATTGTTCTTTGCCAGCTTTCGGGCACAAACACCCTTCTACAATCATACGGAAAATCTGCTGGTGTTAATCTTCTCTCTAGGGTCAAATAGAAACTTAAGCCAAAATTCAAGTCTGTGAAAATGCAAGTGTGTGGCAGGGGTGTTGGCTATAGCTGTGTTGGTCTAAGGACATAAGCAGATAAGGTTCTTTGGGTAAATATGATATCTTTTATTAGACCAACTAAATAATTGGAAAAAAATGCTCTGCACGGCAGGGAAGATCAGAGGGGATAGGAGTTAATGGGTGTGAGAGAGGTAGGTGTGTGGTGGGCAAAATTCCCCTCTTTTGTTTCCCCCCCGCCCCAACCTACCTGTTTCACACCCATTAACACCTATCCCCTCTGATCTTCCCTGCCACACATTTGCATTTTCACAGACTTGCATTTGACATATTGGCATAATCTTCTATTTGACCCTAGAGAGAAGACTAACACCAGCAGACTCTCCCTATGCCTGAAGACTGTGCCCGAAAGCTTGCAGAGAGCAATTTTTCCAACTATTCAGCTGGTCTAATAAAAGATTTCACATCTACCCAAAGAGCCTTGTCTGCCCATGTCCTTAGACCAACACGGCTATAATCAACACCCCAAAACATGGACCAACTCTAGGCATTTCACTTCCTTTCCAGGACCTTCAAGCTGAGGCTGAGCAGGGACACGAGTGCTTTCACCAAGGACTTTGAGATCCAGGTCAAGGACACCTTGAAGCCAGGAGATGTCTCTTTTATTTACTCAGGAGATTTGCACGGTAAAAGTTAAACCTGCTGCCCTGAGCATGGAAACTTCCCAGTGAGGATAGAGAGACCATTAACAGTTCACCAAGCCCCCCAGGCAGCCTGACCCTTTTCCCTGATGGGGAGGGACAGGAGTGCTCCATCTCAATGCCCTGATAGCATTTGGTTCTTGCTAGTTAGCAGGGTGCTGGTTTCTTTGATGTGGACTCCCATGGATTGAGACCCTGCAAACTCGCTACATGGAGCCTGCAGAGCATCAGACAGGCATCGGCAATGAGATAGACCCCTTATCTGGTTTATGTATTGCACTACCAATGTGGCTAGGAGCTGACCTGCAGACGTCTTCAGGGACATGAGCTCCATCCATGGTCTCCTGGAGCTTGGGGGCAGTTGCTGGGGACCCTGCAGGGAGATTGCCCCTTTGGAGAGCAGGGAGCCCTGTGATTTGCCATGCGGTGATCCTGGGGCTTCAGAAAAACTGGCAGCCAGAAGGGCTTCACTTTGAAGCAGAGCCTTGAAAGTGAGGGACGAAGGCAGGTATCTTCAGAGCCTGTTGAGCATCTATTATCACACAACATGTTTGACTCTCAGAAGTGAGGTGAAGCAGCATGGATGTGTGTGGATGCTGCAGGTACGTGGCTACCTTGGGCGGCGTGTGCATAAAATGGGTGGAACGTGGCCACATCCCCTGCAGCAGCTACTAAGATAACATTACCAGGGCTACAGGTATCAGGAGCAGGGCCACCTCAGATGCTGAAAATTGATCAGTATTATCCAGTGGTTGTTAACCCCAGACCTCTTCTGTAACTGGTAATGAAGATGAAAGCCTCCTTCTCATTTGCCTGTACCCCTGTGCCGGCAAAACAGATGAGCCTGGATCTTTCTGCCATGGGTCTATCCACAATGGCCTTTTCGAAGGGTTCATCCGAACCAAGAACGGCACTTATTACGTGGAGTCTGCCGGAGCATGCACCAGCACCTCTCCAGGTCACTCTCTGATCCATCATGAACGTGACATAGGTGAGTACCAGACCCTAGCACAGGTCTTTGGAGTGACTGAGGTTTATAAAAGAAAATTTTGCAGCTCAGCAGCAGCTATTGCGTCTGCTGTTTGACCTGGCATTTCAAATGAACCTTACATCTGCTGATCCCAAAGGTTTTTATAAACACTGAATGTAACCATCAGGGCTCAGATCTCTTTCTGACTATTCCTTGTGTTTTGTACTGAGGCAGAGAGGTGAAATGATTCATCCAAAGCCATGTAGTGAGTCAGTGGCAGAGCAGGGAATAGACACCGGGACTCTTGGCTTCTAGTCTCCTCAGCTGGAACTGAACCCAAGAGCCCTGATGCCTGATTATCTGCTCAAATCATGCTAGGGTTATTGTTGGGAGAGTTAGAAATTGTTGAAACATAGAAATCGTATAAAAATATGGATGGCAGGGCCCTCAGATCATCTAAGCTAGTGCTCTTTCAAGGCAGGATCATCCCTCTCTAAACCATCCAGGATACGTTTGTCTAAAATATCCTTAAAAACTTCCAGGGATGGGGATTCCACAGCTTTTGTAGCACATCTGTCTCAGTGTTGAACCACCCTCAGTGTTAGAAAGCACTATCAATAGCTAACCTAAATCTCCCTTGTTGCAGTCTAAGCCTGTTACATCTTGCTTTGTGCCCTGTGATCTCTTTGCAGCATTTGTTATATGCACAATTCTGAAGTCTCTCTGTATGACATCTGAATTTTCACTCTAGATTATTCCTTGTTGGAAGATCCAGACTCTGCTGCCTTGACTGAGAGAGCACATCAGATCCTGCAACATTTCCAGCAGGAGCTAAAGTTAAAGGTGAAAAGAAATGGTAGAGAATAGTTTTAACTCGAAATGAAACAAGTTGAAGCAATGCAAGTACCACGAGGAAAGGACTGCATGGGGCATTGATTGGTTCTGAATTCATTGAATAACATGCTGGTGGGCATGGGAACTCAAAGGGCTTTGATTCTCCGTCATGGAGCTCTTGTGCTTCAACACCTGCTATAGACAGCGGGAGACAGAAAAAGAGGCTAGATGCTATTTACTGTTCCCAGAATAAATCCAATTTCCCTAAATTTGGGTAGTTTAAGAGTGTTGTTGTAGCTGTGAGGGTTCAGAAATTATGTGAGAGGCCTAAATTTGGGAGAAGAATTGAACTTAAGGGGAAAAATTAAAAAAAAAAAAAAAGATTTTGGGACGTCTCCCATTTTCATGAAGTTTATAGTTCTGGCAAGATGTTGACACACAGGTAATATTTTCAAGCTCAGCAATTCTCTGTATCTGGCCCCAAATATCGGTAACTTCAATGGGACCTGCATAAGCATGTGTGTAAGAAGTTGAACATGTGCATAATGCCTTGATGTTCTTCCCTGAAGCTGCTGCTGCTCCATTTGCTTGTATTTCATTCTGCCCTGGAAATTAATTATAACTCAGAATATCCCTACACATTTCTAAACTTTTTTTTGTCAAAAAAAGGGGGAAACCCTGGAGAGAGAGAAGAGGAGTTTGGATTATTCTAGGACATCCTGCCTGCTGCATCTGCAAGTTGATTACTTGTTCTACCAAAGATTTGGCACCACAGAGGCGGTGGTTTCTCAGGTAAGAGTATTAATAATTGTTACTGTTGTTGTTCCTTTTGCTATTCGAAAACAATGATTGGTGAATGTAATGTTCCTTAAAATACTGGTTTGATTGGAAAAACTCATCACTGCTGTAATGATGTCATGATATTTGAATGGCACCATGGATCCCATTCACTCCCTATCTCTCACATGGTATGGTAACACTGTAGAAAGGTAGAAGGAGTGAATTGCTTGGAGAACCATCAGCTTGTGTCAGGGATTTATGGGGAAGGCACTGGATTTGGATGCAAGTGTAGTTCTTGGCTCTCTTGGGAATGCCTCTATGTCCTTGGAGGCACCATTTCATCTTTCTGGACCTCAGTACTCAATCTGCAAAATGGGGAATAATAATAATACCTCTGTGTATTTAGGCTGCTAACTGTACATAACACAGAGGTCCACGGGCCTTATTTAGGGGTTACTTGCTTATATATAAAACTAAAGGCTCAGTACCATTGTTAGTAGAGTAAGAGCAGCAAGGGGCTCCTTGTAGTATTTACCCCTTCAATTGTGACATAACCTTGCACAAGTTAAATCTTTTTTGAACCATCTTAAGAATAACAATACCTCTTGCTGACTTTTCCTCTCTGTCTCCTGCCAATTTGAGGTAGTAAGAATAACAGTCCTCCCTGGCCCTTATACAGCACTTTCCACCAGAAGATCTTAAAGTACTTTTACAAAGGAGGGCAATATCATTAACCTGATTCAACAAAGGGGGAAAATTGCAGCACAGACAGGTGACAAGAACTGTCTGAGGTCAGCAGGAAGGCGAGTAGGAGAGCAGAGAACAAAGTCCAGGTTGCCTGCGTTCCCTGCCCAGTGCTGCATTCATGACAAGTGGTTTTATCCAATTAACGTCTGTCTCCCCCCTGCAGGTTGCCAGCTACATAAAAGCAGTGAATGCCATTTATGAAGGAGCAGATTTTGACGGTATCAAGCACGTTGACTTCAAAGTGAAAACATTAAGCGTAAGTCGGTTGGGCGCTCGGGTTTTGATCTCCATGGGTTTTGGATGAGGATCTTCAGGACCCAAACGCATGCCAAGGCAGATGGATGTCTGGTTTCATTTTTCTAAGGGGTAGTTGCCTGAAAGGGATGGTTTGGCTAAGGGAATTTGCAGGCTTAGATTGCTCATTCATTTGTAACTTATAATGCTAGTGATGAATGATATCGTTGGGTGGTACACGAGAAACATGACTGTTAAAAATGAAATCTCTGCTGCTACATGTCACAGCAAGTGACTGGCTAGCTTGCGTTGTTTCTGCACTGTAGATAATCCAAGAGGATGATCCTTCTGGCTCCAGGGACTCGCCATACATCGGTCCAGAAATGCTTCTGCTGTTGCACTCCAAGTCCAACTGGAATACCTATTGCCTCTCCTACCTCCTGACAGACAGGGACTACAGTGGAGTTCTTGGGATTGCTTTTAATGGACAAACTGGTAAGAAACAGCCACATGCACTAAAAACAAAAGGTGGTCACACTCTGGTTGTAACTATAACCATGATAAGTCACCATCTGGTAGTGTTATTCAAAGTCTTGCCAGTTCCTTTTCTTAACGTGAGTTGTCGTTTAGGAGTAGCATTCCTGTCTTTGTGCAGGGTTTGGACCACATGATTCGAGGTCCTTTCCAACCCTATGAGTTTATAAGAAATGTTGTGTTTGATGCTTAGTCTAAATTTGTTTGGAAAAACTATTCACTCTCCACTTGCTCTGGATCCTAGTCTTTACTCCTCTGATTTCTGGCTTGCGTCTCCAGAGTTTCTGCTTTTTTTTTCTTTCTGGGCTAGGTGACCTGGGTGGCATCTGCTCTAAGCACAAGAAGTTCCAGGACCAGGAGGCCTCTCTGAACACAGGGCTGATCACACTGCAGAATTATGGCCAATACTTGCCACCTCGGATCATCCACATCGTCCTGGCCCACGAGCTGGGTCACAGCCTGGGAGCCCATGTGAGCACAGGGAAGGCATTGTGGGGATAAGTGGGAGTGAAGCTTAAAAGCAGAGGATTGGCACAGATGATGGCAGGGAAGCCTCCCCTCATTCAAGCAGCCAGAGCAGGGGTTCAG